CAAGTCAACCTACTAATACTACCCTTGCTGTTACTGTTGAAAGTAAGGTTTATTGTGTACTACAATGAATACTGTTCCTCCATCGCCTACTCTTCTCTCCTTTTTGTATTTTCTCCTGCTCTCTGTTTATACACAAATACACATTCTCTTCTTTTATTCTGTCCCTACTTACCTTTTTTCTCTATTATCAGGTCTTCCTCCAATGACAGTAAATTTCTCATCAGCTGGTTCAGTTGAAGTTGGTCAGAGTCTAACTATAACATGTACCATAACAACAGTTGAGAGATTAGTAGTAACACCAATGGTTACTTTCATTAAAATGAATGATACAGATATGGAAATGCTCTCTAACTTAAATAGACCATACAGTATCACAACAGATGATACCAGTTCAGTTACTAACTATACTCTAATACTGGATCCAGTGAGGTTTGAAGATGCTGGAATGTATACTTGTATGGCTGAGTTTAATGTAACTGGTGTGAATGATACCAATGACCCTAGCACTGCTACTTACGATTATCGAGAGGATAGTGATATTTTTAATTTGACTGTTGACTGTAAGTTACTCTACTGTAATAATAAAGAATAAAATTTGAGTTATCAAATACTTTACTTTTTAAATCTCATTACAGTTCCACCAGTGATTGTTACTATATCAAAGGAACGTGATGATACATTATATGCAGGGACACCATTCTTCATTAAATGTGACATAATGTTAGATGCATTAGTTACTATACCAGTGACTGTCACTAATCAATGGACACGTGATGGTACTAATGTTCCTATGGATTCATCTGATGCTACCATTACTGAGGATCTCAATATGATCAATACATTATATCATAATGCAACATTAATGTTCTATCCATTGGATAATGCTGATGATAGTGGAATGTATACTTGTAATGTTGAAGTGACTGCTCCTAATAGTTACATGTATCTCAGGAATACATCAGCTAGTGCTAACACTTCCATTACAGTTATGGGTAAGTACATTTAGTATATACAGTATAATATTCTTGTGTAATTGTACCAAAGCTTTCATTAGCTTGATGTTCTGTTACTGTTAACAGTAGGTGCAAATGTACTATTATATTGTTCTTTTGGCTGTGAGTAAATGTATTGTGGATTGATTGTTGAAGCCTAATACAGTTCCATTGGTTTAAAGGCTGTCTTGAGGTCTTACCACTATGTAATCTGAAACCTTTCTATGACCCAATATATGTACACAGCAATGTGACCTTATTGTGAATTTTTTTTCTTTTCACAGCTACTCCAGAGCCAGTGGTAGAGATAGTAACTATGGGTATGGCTGAACCTGGTGAAGAATACATGTTAAATTGTACAGTGACAGTCGTTAATAGACTCATAGTCTCACCAGTGATAACATGGACTAAGAGATCAGCTAACAATGTTATTAGTGTACCTCCAGTTCTTATGACTGTATCTAATGTAATGAGATCGCTTTATTTGAGATTCTCTTCTCTCAATACTTCTGATGCTGGTCTGTATACTTGTGAAGCCTCCATTAATGTTACTGAGATATCAATGGTAGCAAGGAATAATGACACATCAAACTTACCATTAGAAAGTAAGTACACAATGATTATGATTGTGCATGATTTATGTATATTGCATTATAGTGTGTGTCACTATGTGTTATGCATGTTGTCATTCCTTGAGTACAATTTTGAAAGTTTTTTGTACAACCCATTGTTTTTTTCCAAAAAATGGCTTCAAAATCGCCCCCAAATTTTATTGCATTTTCTGATACATATTGATGTCCTTATGCTATATAGAAAGTTTGAGCTGATTCCGACCTCAACTTTTTGAGTTATGGCACCATTTTCAAAAATAGGCTAATTTCTACTATACCTGTGGGGAAAAACATGTATGTGCAGTACTGTACCTTGTAAATGCAAAGCAATTTTTAAAGCTAGATATACATGTACCTGTAATCCTACATTATAACTAATTTTTTGAATGCCTTAATTTTTAAATTATTTTTATTGAGTACGTAATTGTGTGTGCTTGTTATTGTGTTGTACAGTTTCCTTTTTGGTTACATGGTGTGCTTATTCCTTTCAATAATTGTTTTTAATTTATTTTATTTTAGTTCCCATTCCATCTGTTGATGTGAGCCAATCAAGGGAGAACTATTTCTTAGCTGGCAGTAACCTGATACTAACATGTGATATCAGTGTTGATATTAATGTTGATACACCATTCGCTGTTAACGTAACCTGGAACATGACTGATCAACAGATCATGAGTAGCGGTGATTTCGGAGATGAGAGTGCCCCTAATTCAATGAGGCTTGCTGATACAGATCGTGTTAATATCAGCCCCGTTATGACGAGATCAGGTTTCAATGAGTATAGATCAACTGTTAATTTCACTACATTGAGCAGTATTGAGGATTCAGGAACATATACATGTATTGTTACTATAGTACCAGCTCCAGCTTATGAATATGTAATGACTTCTGATACTAATTATATGAATGTTAACTTCACTGTTACTGGTAAGTATTAATGTGCATGTTTTGTACATGCATGCATGTGTATCACATTTGTATGTAATGTACAATTTTCTACTTCTAATGTAATTTATTTTGTATTTGGATGTGTAGTGAGCCTTTATGCTGTGTAAAAACTTTTAAGTTGATTCCAATTCTGATCATTTTAATTTTTTATTAAAAACCCTGTACTATAAAATGGCTGCAAAACATTTTGATGCCCAAAATGTTTAGCTCAATAATCATGTACATACATGTAGTGCATAAGTGTACTTTTTTAATATTATTAATAATGGTGATTTTTTTATAGATCCGATGATTAGAAATTTCTCTGCTTCTCCCGATTCATTCCTCGGTCTGGAGACATCATGTTCTGACTCGTATCGTTACGATAACTTCACTCTTACCTGTACAGCCACTAAACCAACCATAGTAATACCAGACCTGGTAATAGCATGGACACTTAATGGTACAATAGAAACTGGTACTGTGACTACTACTAGAGAGGATACTATGACTACCACTGTTACTAATATATTGAATTTCACCACCAGTACTGCTTCTGATTCTGGTACTTATAGATGTACTGCTAGTATTACTATACCTAATTCACCCGATATCACTACTAGTGAGGAAAGTACTGTGACTATAAGACGTAAGTGGCTATAATAATTATACATGTATATATACAATGTACAGTTATTTTATTTGCATACGTATGCTAATAATTGCATATACTTTTCTGTACAATTCTACCTCCTTCCTTTTTTTCTCCTCTCCTTTTTGCTCTATTTTTTAGCTCAAAGTTTACCTGTTGCTGCTACTAATGTCATGGCTACTGTAGGAGATGCTGCTAGTGCTACTACTGCTGCTATATCATTTACAATACCTAACATTGCCTATACACCTGAAACCTACGGTGTTAAGTATACTGGAGCAATCTTACAAACAGCAGAACAAACTTCTATGATAAGAATGAGCTCTGATGACATCACTGCAATTGACCAAGAATTTACAATCATGTTGACTGGCCTTGAGGAAGATAACACTTATACATATACAGTTGATTCTACCAACTGTCGTGGTACTACTAGTACTGCAGAGATGAGC